AACATAATTTATATTTTATTAATGCAACATTACCTTTTGCTATTATTTATTGTGCTATTCATAGAATTTATATTAAACTAGTAATCAACCTGTGCATTTGCACAGAGACAAATTCATAGAATAGAAAATAAGAAATAAGAAAAACAAAAATACTAAATCATAATTTAATTCAAGAAAAAATGTTAATTAAGAAATAAATTCTAAATACTATTAAAAGCTTTTACTCATATCGTTAGAGTCTCCCATCGCCACATATCGTCATCTTTAAACTCTTTCGATTCGTGACTCTAAAAAGAGCCACGTACAGCTGTCATGACTAAAAACATGGTTCTTTAGTACTATGCCAACATGTGACATAAGTTGGCATTGACTCATATTGATCGTCATAGCATGAAAAACCATGATAGAAAACAAAAAAAGCTTGACGATGAAACTTGACGACGAAATTGGAAAATAGTGGACTATTAGTACAAAAATAAAATTAATATTAAACAATGATTAATGGTGGACTTATTGTCAATATAAATTTATTAAAAACTGTATTAAGAAGTTAAATAAAAATATGAATTTTATTCTGCATGATTTCTGCCACACTTGCCAACCAAAACAATTTTGTATGATTTATGCCAGACACATCCGTTACAGATTTTGAAATGATCAGAGAAAAAAAAAACAAAAAAATAAAAATAATAATTTTCGCATTATTTTGAGGCAGGCCTTTCAATGCAAATTTAGATGTACAAAAAAAGTCAAAGAAGATGTTACATTCTTTGGAGCTGATTATAGAAAAAAAAAAAACAATATTAAATTTGGTGTTATGTAACTGCTTTAGGAGGGAAAACGAAATAATAAAATTTAATGTGGTTGTGCTCTAGGCGGGAAAACGAAAATAATAAAATTAAATGTTGTTGCTCCAAATTATATATATATATATATATATATATTTATATATATATATACATATAGATTTAAAAAATATTTCATACTTTGACTTCTTTATACACGTGTCTATCTAGATTTTTCGAATCGAATATTTCAAGTTCGAACTCGTGCTCATTTAATAAACGAGTTGTCGTGGCTTAACTCGATCGTTTAATAAACAAAAAAAATTTTAGCTTAGGTTTGACTCGTATGAACTTAGTTCAAGTCATATAATCTATATATATATATATAATAAGAATTAACATTTACCAAAAATAGTAACAAAAAAATAAGTCAGAATTTAATGCAACCTATATATAGTAAGTTTTATTACTTTTCATATTTTTTTTCTTTAAAAATCATACAACATTAAATGTTACCTTAAATTTCGGGTTTTAGTTTATTTTATTATTTAAAAAATTCAGTTAAGATTTATTAAATGTGTATGTTTTTATTTTTATTTTTTTTTCTTAGAAACAACGAACAACATTAAAATCTCGGTCTCTATATTTATAAAATCTCAATTCAAAATATAACAAAAGTTTTAGAATCTCGGTTTTTATCTTTGTGCCGTTAAAAAACATATTGAACGCAAAAAATATTATTTAAATTGCATTATCAATCAATTAATATTAATTTTTTTAAAATTACTATGTTTATTTTTAATTAATATGCATAAAGTAAAAATAATTAATTCATCTTTAGATATATAATATATAATCTTAATATATTATCATTTGGTGTAGACATTTATTATATGTCATAAAATATTTTTTTTTCATAAAATTAAATATATTTAAAGAAAATAAGAAAATTTTTTCGGATCAATCGGGTGATTGAATTAGGGTACTGCCCAGGTTGATTGAATTACTTTTCGGTGATAATTAAAATAGACAAAAAATTTGACACAACTTGATTGGTCCTAGGTGACTAAGTTATGTATCATTTCGACCACATCAAATCGATTATTGAACCTAAATATAAGTTTTATATTGAAAATATGTTATTACGTGAATGTGATGTAGTCCAAACTTCAAATAATCGTATTAACAATACTTTTATGACAACATGTTTAATGATTTATGAATATTAATATATCATTTTGTTAATATTTATGTGAATTAAATAATATTTTATTATAATTTTTATTAATGTACAGTAAATATAAGATTTTCAGAACTGGACCGTCATCGAAACGATCAAGCTATTTTATTAAATCATTTGTCGTTTGTTCAGATTTTAATTTATAAACATTTTAATATATATATATATATATATATATAGTACTTTTGTAATAAATTTAAATAAAATGTGTTACTTAGATATCTAAACAATTTATAAATTCAAATGTTTAAACTAATTGATAAATAATATATAAATCTCTATTTTGTTTAAATATGTAATTTTATTTAAAATAATTTTAAATACAACAAAATTTATTTAGAAAATCGTATTGATCCTACCAGTCCAACCGACTGGTGTTGACGGATTCCAGAGCAAATATTTTATTCAAGTGAACTAGACTGGTTATAAATCGGCTCCTGATCTATCCGGTCGGACTGCGTGCAACCCGGTTTAATTTAAAAATAATAGATAAATTATAATTAATGTTATTTATATATTTAATTTATAATACATTCGTAATATTATTTTTCCGTGCATCGCACGGGCCACGCACTAGTAAACTTTAAAACCTAGACCAAAATCAAAAACTCTAACCAACTTATGCAAATGATGTTATGAATTTTGTTAATTCTAAAACTTAATTTGATAATTTTATAACATTTTATAACATTTCAAGCCCATAGTTTACCCATTGAAAAACTCCTTGATTTAACAATAAAAATTGGATTATGTTAAAATAAAATCAGCCGTCCAATCGCATCCGATTTTATCTTTTTGTCCCTCTCTCAAAGAAAATACATTTTTAATCAAAGTGGGAAGTCAACAAGCTAAAAGGGTGGACCGGTGGAGTTATACAATTTGACGACGTCGTACTCACTTACATGCCTGGAATTGGATTATAAATTAAAAAAACGGTGGCAAGTAAAGGCCACTTCCCCATTACCATTAATGTCCTTTTCCCAATCATAATCGCCAAACTCTTCTTCAACCATCATCATCTGAGGTACCAGAAATTTTGATACTGTTGTTTGTTTGATTTCTTAATTGTAAAATCTATCGCCGTCGCTTAGCAGACGATTTACCTGAGCTGTTCATGTATTTCTTTGAATATGTGTATAAAGTTCAAAAAATTATGCATAGACAGCCCCCTACAATCTTCTGGTCGTGATTTGGGGATGCATGTGATGTTAAATAACAGAGGTTTATGTGCTGTTTTATCTGAGTGAATTTTATGTCATCTGCTGTGAAAGTTGAATTTCTATGCTGTGAATCGGTGACTGAGTGCAATCGATAGAAATCTGGTGGATCATTTTCGGGTTGACGTGGCCCCATTGTTGGGTTTGATTTGATAGCAGATGAAAGCTTTATGCTGCTTTAGTGCATCTCAAGAGTGCTGCTAATTAATCTTAATTGCCAAATTGATATTCTTTTTTTTTTTTTGTGTGTGTGTGTGTGTGTGTGTTTTGTGTGTCACTGTGTCGTGTCGATTGATTGATTCTTGTTTGTCGCTATTCTTTGTGTCCCTTATTAATTGAATATTTTAGTTTGAATGTTGGAAATTTGTGTGTAATATTCGCTCCATATGCATATTGTCAATATAATACATGTTGGCCATGTTGTGAGTGGGTTCAATGAACTTTACTGAGAATTGCAACCACATTATACTGTTGGATATGTATTCAACTTCAATTATTATATGAAAAAATGATCATTAGTAGATTATATATGAATTTTCTAAGAAACTTTAAGGGGGAACTGTTGATTTGTTATATAATTTTTAAAGTGACCAGTGAAATTTTGCAATACTTAATAGTAATGCTGTATTGTATTGACTATTGAACACAATTTCTTCTTTTTACTAAATAGTAAATACATGTAATTACTAGCAACCTTTCCCATTTCTTTCTCTTCTATACTTGTATATAACCTGTGCATTGTTAGCACGGCTAAAATTTAAATGTTAAATTTCTTTATAAAAGAGGGAAAAGAAATGAACTTTTCATAAATACACTGTACATGAATTTTCAACCAGAAATATAGTAGACCACAGAAGATTCGTTTTTTCTAAAATGTGAAACTGTGCGTGCTTGATAGCTTTGATGTGTTGTTCTGTAACTAGCTTATTATTCCTTCAGGTTTGTTTATTTAATTCTATGACCAATATTATTGGATAAGTGTTACAATTTTGAAACCATGTTTTCTTATGTAAGAGTATCATTTATCCACGAAGGCTACACAGCCAGTTTTCTTGATATCTGGATCATTTCTAATGATTGATAGAGTAATTTATAAGCTTTATGACTTCACATTGTGTATGTAGTATGTGGATCTTCACAAACTGTTTATGTTATTATGTTATAGAATAAATATTTTTATGACCACTGAAATTACTTTGTTAGGACTTAGGGAATGCTAGCTGAGATGCTCTTCTTCATTCCCATTGGTCTAGAATTGTATTTGTATCCATAGCTTGGTCACTCTTTTAGTCACAGAGCTTGCAGAAATTTTTTCTGCTGGATAGTTTCCTGCTCTTGGAATTCCTTGCATAACAGTGTTTAGTTGTCAGCCAACCTCCACCTGCGTGCTAGGATTTGCCAATTTGGTTACAATATCCGGAATGCCACATAATATACACTAGTACTTTGAATACACAATATATGATGCTATAATTTTGATAAGGAATAAATGTGATCAAAGTTGATCTTTCTGTCTGATAGAGCAAATTAGTTAAATCCACACTATTTTCTGTGATTTCTTTTTTCCTTTTCTTGCAAACTTAGACTGCATGGAGTCTATTTTCTTGCAATTGCACTCGGGACATACGCCTATATTATAATCCATCTACGTACATTTATTTATTCTCATTTTGACAGGTTGCTATATTCTGAGGCTTTCCTAGTGTCGACCGACGTTAGTTCTTGCACATAACCTTCACTGCGCTGCTATTATACCAAATGGGGAGCGTTGAAGGAGGGAAGCTCAGATTCTGCATCGACAGAGGGGGCACATTCACTGACGTCTATGCCGAAATTCCCGGTAGACCCGAGGGCCGAGTCATGAAACTGTTATCTGTAGATCCTGCTAATTACGACGATGCGCCGGTAGAAGGAATCAGACGGATTTTGGAAGAATTCACCGGAGAAGAGATCCCCCGAAATTCAAAAGTCCCCACTGATAAGATCGAGTGGGTGAGGATGGGAACGACTGTTGCTACTAATGCCCTGTTAGAAAGAAAAGGAGAAAAAATCGCACTCTGCGTGACCAAGGGCTTCAAAGACCTTCTCCAAATCGGCAACCAGGCACGACCTAACATCTTTGACCTCACCGTGTCAAAGCCCTCGAATCTTTACGAGGAGGTCGTGGAAATCGATGAGAGAGTCGAGCTCGTCTTGGAAGGAGAGGAGAAATCAGAATCAGAATCAGATTCCACCTGCTCTGTAGTTCAGGGCATCTCGGGTGAGCTTGTGAGGGTCGTGAAGCCAATCGACGAGGAATCTTTGAAGCCTCTGCTTAAAGGCCTTTTGGGCAAAGGCATCAGCTGCCTAGCCGTGGTCTTACTTCATTCCTACACATACCCTGACCACGAAACATCAGTCGAAAAACTCGCGACGAGTCTAGGATTCAAACACGTCTCCATATCATCCGCTCTCACCCCTATGGTGCGTGCAGTCCCCAGGGGCTTCACGGCGTGCGTGGACGCGTATCTAACTCCCGTCATCAAACAATATTTACGAGGCTTCATATCCAAATTCGACGACGGTAAATTAAACGTGTTGTTCATGCAGTCAGACGGAGGCTTAGCGCCAGAGAGCAGATTCTCGGGCCACAAGGCCGTCCTGTCCGGGCCCGCCGGCGGAGTCGTCGGGTACTCGCAGACCCTTTTTGGGCTCGAGACAGAAAAGCCCCTGATCGGGTTCGACATGGGCGGCACGTCCACCGACGTGAGCCGTTACGCGGGGACTTACGAGCACGTCATAGAAACTCAAATATCCGGCGCCATAATCCAAGCACCCCAGCTTGAGATCAACACTGTAGCTGCTGGCGGTGGCTCGAAGCTGAAATTCGAGCTTGGGGCCTTCAAGGTGGGCCCGGAGTCCGTGGGGGCCCATCCGGGCCCGGTGTGCTACCGCAAAGGGGGCGAGCTGTCAGTAACTGATGCGAACCTTGTCCTGGGCTACGTCATACCGGATCATTTCCCGTCGATCTTCGGCCCTAACGAGGACCAGCCGCTCGATGTGGACGCCACCTGGGATGAGTTCCAGAAGCTGGCGAAACAGATTAATGCCCACAGGAGGAGTGAGGACCCGTTGGCTAAAGACATGACGGTGGAAGAGGTTGCGCAGGGGTTTGTGAACGTCGCGAACGAGACCATGTGCCGTCCGATAAGGCAGCTGACCGAGATGAAAGGCCACGAGACGAAGAACCACGCTCTTGCCTGCTTTGGGGGTGCCGGTCCCCAGCACGCCTGTGCTATTGCCCGTTCGCTGGGAATGAAGGAGGTGCTCGTTCACAGGTTCTGTGGGATTTTGAGTGCATATGGAATGGGGTTAGCGGATGTGGTAGAGGAAGAACAGGAGCCGTATGCCGCCGTGTACGACCCGGAATCTGTGTTGGAGGTTTCGATTAGAGAGAAAGCTCTTTCGGCTCGTGTGATGTCGAAGCTTCGGTCGCAAGGCTTTCGAGACGAGAATATTAGGATTGAGGTGTATTTGAATTTGAGGTATGAGGGAACTGATACTGCCATAATGGTCAAGTGCCCCGTGAAGGAAGAAGATGGATCGAGGGGAGACTATGCTGCCGAATTCGTAAACTTGTTCCAGCAGGAGTACGGGTTTAAACTTCAAGGCAGGAAAATCATGATATGCGACGTGAGAGTACGCGGTGTTGGAGTCACCAACATACTCAAGCCCCAGGCTCTGGAACCCGGCTCTGGAACTCCTAAAACCGAGTGCCGGTACACAGTCTACTTCAGTAACAGCTGGCACGACACGCCCCTGTACAGGCTCGAGGACTTCGGGTCCGGCCACGTCATCCTGGGTCCCGCCGTCATCATGAACGGCAACAGCACCGTCATAATAGAACCCAATTGCAAGGCCGAAATCACTAAATACGGAAACATCAGGATCGAGCTGGGCTCGTCGGCCCACGAAAACACCTCCGTCGAAATAGCGAACAACACAGAAGTCGCGGACGTCGTCCAGCTTTCGATCTTCAACCACCGCTTCATGGGAATAGCCGAGCAAATGGGACGAACCCTACAACGAACTTCAATTTCAACAAACATAAAAGAAAGACTCGACTTCTCGTGCGCCCTCTTCGGTCCAGATGGGGGTCTCGTCGCCAACGCCCCTCACGTGCCCGTCCACCTAGGCGCCATGTCGAGCACCGTCCGTTGGCAGATGAACTATTGGGGCGAGAATCTTAACGAGGGAGACGTGCTCGTCACGAACCACCCGTGCGCGGGTGGCAGCCACTTACCCGACATAACCGTCATCACGCCCGTTTTCAGCGACGGGGGAAAGCTCGTTTTCTTCGTCGCGAGCCGCGGGCACCACGCGGAGATCGGTGGCATCACTCCCGGAAGCATGCCGCCGTTCTCGAAATCCATATACGAAGAAGGCGCCGCCATAAAAGCCTTCAAGCTCGTCGAGAAAGGCGTTTTCCAAGAAGAAGGCATCAAGAAACTCCTCCTCTTCCCTTCGGCCGGCATCCCCGGGACCCGCCGGCTTCAGGACAACCTATCCGACCTCCACGCGCAAATTGCCGCTAACCAAAGAGGAATCTCCCTTATAAAAGAGCTCATCGAGCAGTACGGGTTGTCGACCGTCCAGGCTTACATGCGGCACGTCCAGGTCAACGCGGAGCGCGCAGTCCGCGAAATGCTGAAATCGGTGGCCGACAGGATCTCACCAGGTGGCGCCGGCAGCGCCCATGTTGTCGTCGTCGAGCACGAGGATTTCATGGATGACGGGTCGCCCATCCGTTTGAAGCTAACGATCGATCGGGAGAAAGGGGAAGCGTCGTTCGATTTCTCCGGGACGGGCCCGGAGGTGTACGGCAACTGGAATGCTCCCGAGGCGGTGACATCAGCAGCCGTCATATACTGCATGCGTTGTTTGGTGGACGCGGATATACCGTTGAACCAGGGTTGTTTAGCTCCGGTCGAAATCCGGGTCCCGCGCGGAAGTATTTTGTCTCCGAGCGATGGGGCGGCGGTTGTCGGGGGGAATGTGCTGACGTCACAGAGGGTGACGGATGTTGTGCTGGCGGCTTTGGGGGCTTGCGCGTGCTCGCAGGGGTGCATGAACAATTTGACTTA